CTCCGCGCCCGGGGCCCGCCGCGGGGCTCCTCGAGCCGGGCGCTCAGAGCGGTGGCCCCGGGGAGCTGTCACAGGCCCAGCTACGTCCTCCCGGACGCCAGGGCCCCCTCTGTTCGTTGTGGCACTCCAGGAGCCCCGGGCTGGCAGCCGGAGCAGGGCCTCTTGATCCCCAGGGGATGGCAGTGGGGACGGAATCTCCTGCAGCCTCTATCCCCTGCGCAGCTGCGGCCTTTCTTCCATCACATGTTTGGAAGGGCACAACCATCCAAATATAACATGGACCCCCAAGGGAGACCCCCCGAGATATGGGACTAAATAAGTGAAGGAAAGAAGCAGCCACAAATGCGAGGGGGGGAAAAAAGACAGCTCAGGTGCCGAACGCACCAGGATGGCAGCTCAGAGCGGGAGCTGTGTCGGGGCTGACCAAGGCCCTGGTCATGTCATCAGTGACACTAGGGCAGTGGGGCAGCACAGGGGACAATCCTGCAATTTTCATAGGCCGGGACGTGTTTCCACAGGGCCCCAGTGTCCCAATGGGATGAAGGGCTACCACAACCCCAACCCGCTTCTTGAACGGCAAACTATGGCCAACCTGGCAGTACCGAGTGATGTGTGTGCAGCAAAGAGACCCGAAATTCTGTCCAGATGCGAGTCAAATTGTCACCTTGATAGTGATCAAGTTCTGATGGCTCAGGCGGGTTCAGACCTGGAGCTTGTTGGTCTTGCACCACTAGGCTGCTCCTCCGAGAGCGCCGGTGCTTAGGGCTGAGCGGAGCCGCTGGGTTTTCGGGGTTGTGGAGGGCTACCCCGCAGTCATCAGCAGGGATGGCCACTTCAAATGCATTTTGTGAGAACCCCGAGATCCTCCTCTATTGATGCCTTGAGCTGCACATCACCCACAGCAGTGACACAGAAACCGCCACACAGAGCAGGATGCAAGAGCTGGGTGTGGGTTTTTCCAGCCCCATTAGCCAGGCATGGTCCCTCCATTAAAGACTGAGTAATTAGCCTTTGCGTCAGCTGTGTGCAAGCCTTACAAACTCGAGTATCACATCTGAAAGCTAATTAGCAATGAGGGTTCTCCTCTACAAAAGCCTTAAGAGGTGGTTTGCTTGTCTTGCTCCTTTTTGGTGTCTTGGCAATGACTTATTTCAGCTGCAAGCAGGAGGCTTCGCCAGCAGGCAGAGAGCAGAGGTGTTTCAGGGCTGCCCTGACTTACCCGCAGGGCAACGGTGACTGTTTCTACCTCGGTGTGGTGCAGATGCTCATCTAAATTACACACCTAATGACCACCAGCGTAACCCTGTGATCACAGCTCTGTCCCAATCTGCGGCTTTGCAACCACACCTAGAAATAATGCAAACCATCCAGCCTAGCCTCTGCGTTACCCCGAGAGCCCCGAGGTGAAGGCGCCTCTTCCCCTCCCATTTCCTCTGGGCACCTTCGCTCCTGGCTCCGTCTATGCCGCGCGGCTGAGAGTTGATCCAAGAGGGAACCCGAGCCCCGTAAGCCTCTTGATCCCTGCTTTCCTCTCGGTGCTGGCCGCGAGCCTGCTCGTAATCCACGGTGCTTTTCCACAGTTGCTGCAGACCAAGATGGGGCTGGTGGAGGGACGATGCTGCCCGGGCTGGCGCATCCCTGCCCCGCGGCGTCCGCGTCCGTCCCGGCAGGCGCGCGGAGCTGATCCTGCTGGCAGCCGAGCTCCCGCTCTGTTTTTACAGCCATACGTGATCCCCCGCCTCACGTGTGCCCGCTCGGCTCGCAGCACGTTAAAGATAAGAGAGCCCAAAGCTGAGTGTGGGCACTGAGCACGCTGCAGGCCTCGGCGCCAGCGGCGCAGCACGAGGCACGGCCGAGTGTCCCCGAGCCTCAGCCAGGAGCCTGACAGCAGAGCCCTGCTCAGGGAAGGCATCGGGAATTCTCCGATTGATCTCAGTCATTCAAGCAAAGCTGTTTTCAAGCACTGCTTGCAAACAGGAGCAAACACCGCAGACAGCGTTCGCACGTGTCTGCTGTGGGAATGCAGCCATGGAAACAGCAGCTGGTGGCAAATCCTCGAGGCAGCAGGATGGAGAGCCCAGGGAAAGGCAGAGCGAGAGGCAGCTGCGAACGCAGCCCAGGGGTGTCTCAAGGGCTGGTTTGGTGCCGAGAGCCCCAAGAGCCCCCTAGACACACAGGGCCCAAGGGACACGTAAATCCAAAATAAACAGCAGTGAGTAGAACGCTGAGTCGCACTGGTTTTATCCTCAAGCTGGCTCATACAATAGGCCAAGCAGAAGCAGAAAAACTATTACTTTTCTCCCATATGGAGGGAGGGGTGGATTCAGGGCAGAGCCAGACTGCTAACCACCTGGGTATTCATCATGAAGGACAAAGATTTTTCTGTCCTTAAAGGTTTTGTGTTGCACTTTGGTACACTTGCTGCTGATTTCTTAACATTACAACGTGACCTTCGTTTTCAATATAGCCAAGGTGGAAAATAAGGTACCTGGGGTAAGGAGAAGTGCTCTGGTGAGAGCGTATTTGACAATCTGGGCCCATGGGGTAACCAGGTAAAAAGGCCTGAGCTTTCTGTCCACGTCCATCACTCCGGTCCTGGGCAAGGAGAGTGACTGTGTCTGGGTCACAGCACCGCTCTCCTCTTCCAACGAGCTGCCCGTCCCAGTGACGGCAGCTCCCTGGTGCCCTGGGGCAATTCCCACTTGGGCGTTGTTGCTCTGTGCCCATCACCCAGCTCAGGGCTGGGACCTCGGCCAAAGGCGCCACACGGGCTGCATCTCGCAATTCCCAAAAATAAACGGAGATGTTGGTGGCAGTGACATTGAGAATTGTGCACTCACTTTTCCCGGAAGGTCTCCTTCTCCTGCTCGCTCCACATGTTCATCACCTGCCGGTCCTTGTAGACCTTCATAGGGTCATCCATAAGGCCGTTCATGTTGATGAATTTGATGCGCTGCTGGTCAGCATCGTAGAGCATGGGAGGAATCACGGCGAGCTGGCGCATCTGCTTCTCCAGGTTCTTTGGGGAAAGCAGAGAGAACAGCTGGTCAGCACCACGGCCTCGGGAGGGGACAGATGTTCCAGAGGAAAGGACAAGCGGAGGAACGGGGGAATTTAAAAGCAGGCACCAGACAGTTTTATTGCCGGAGTAGCTGTAAATTAAACGTGGAAAGAGGCTATCGCCGTCAGCCAGGAAACAATTAATCTTTCATTTTGAAATAAAGGGCTTTTAAGATACCACGTAAAAATGCCTGACCTAAGGAAGTCGGCTGCTGGCCATGATGAGGGACCGGCCAAGGTGGTGGTGGCACAAGGAGGGCAAACCCTGCCTACCCCGAGACCCACAGCCCTCCACGGCCGCGGCTCAGGCCCCTGCGCTGCCACGTGAGCGGGTCAGCTCTGCGAGGCCTCCCTGAAGGTGCCTGGGGGGAGACTGTCTCGTCGCTGCTCTGCAGGAAACCTAACGCTGCAACGGGGTATCTCCTAGCAGCATCTGCACCCTCTTTTCTCCTTCGGTTGAGTTTCAGGTGCCTCAGCTACTGCATGCTGTAAAACCTGGGTAAAACAAACAAATCAACTGAGAGATGGCAAAACTATCTTCTTCCACGTGCCAGCCAGTGAAAGCATCAATCCAGAGCGAAGCTGTGCCGCATGCCCCGTTTTCACTGGAACACCTCCTGCTCCAGCAGCCCGTGGTGCTGCTCCTCCTCTGAGAGCAGCCGAGCGGTGCCCCGGCCTTGCACAGGGCTGTTGGGGTGGCATTTAACAGCCCACGCTGTGCAGGAGGTCGGGGCAATGCCAAAACGCTCCCCTAGGCCATGGCCACTCCGATGCTGTGAAATGTCCCCCCGCTTCCAAGACCTGCATCCCTGTGTGGTTGGCAAAGCCCCCAGGCAGGGGCTGCGCGCGGGGAACAGGCCCCAGCTCCGGCGCTGCCTCCCGCTCCGTTCCCTGCAGCGCGCTGGCCGTGCCAAGCGAGCGGAACCCTTGTGAAACCAGATCCAAGCGAAGCCAAGGTCACGGGGATGTTTCAAGATGAATGGAGCACTCCCAGAAGATGTGGGCCAACTGGCTCGCCGACAAACCATTCATTCCATAGGATTCCCTTGTGTCAAGCTGCAGAGCCCATTCAAAACAAAACGAAACAGAAAAACCCCTTCGCCCAGGCGCCTGCGGCCTCCGCTTCCCCTCGCAGCAAGAAGCAGCAGCAGTGACCTGATCGTGGGGCACTGGCTCACCAGGCCTGACTGCAAGCCGGGGTTTCACGTCCCCAAGGGGCAGGTGATGCCAGGAATCCTACCTGCTGGCCACCAGCACCGCGGGCACTTTGCCCTTTGCTGCTGCAGGACCATCACACAGCTGTGCTCGAGCAGGAAGATGCTGCTGGTTGTTAAATGAGCATCTCGCTTTGGATCCTGTCCCGGGAGGCCATTAGGCACATGTGCAGCCTCCCCAACCTCACTGGGGCCTGGAGTTTGTGGGATTTGGCACAGAGAGGTTCTAGTGTGGGGCCTCTTGCTGCTCTGCTGGCTTCCTTGCATACAAGAGGTGAAGAAGAGGAGCAGAACACGTAACCCGGCCTCACCTCCTGTTCCGAGAGCCCATCGATGATTTCCGACACCTCGTGCTCGCTGCGGGCGGCCGACATGGAGAGGCCGCTGCCCCTCTGTCCTACCCTGCTGGGAAAGGGCAGGGAAACACTCAGCGCTGCCGCTGCGGCCGGGACGATGCGCCACAACCCCCTGCTCCCGCTGCCCTCCGGAACGGCGACATTCCCACAGCCATTCCACACCGCCCCGCTTCCCGTTCCCTCCATCCCGCCTGGAAACCACCTTCCCCCAGGTCAAACCCAGCAGGTTCAGGGCTTAGAGACCCCAATCAGCTTCCCGACCTGCACTAACTGCCACGTCCTGGATGACTAAAACAGCAGGACATTTCATGCCTGTTGAAATGTCCACCATGTTCTTGCGTGTTCCCCCATTCCGAAGTGGCAACGGAACAAACACGTCGGCTTTGGCACGCGGCAATCAGCGCTGCGCCACGGCGCCCGGTTTGCAAACGCCACGAGGGCATTTCAATCACAGCCATCCATTAACACCTACCCCCCTGCAACGCCGCCCACCACAACAGCCCCATTAACCAGGGAGTTTAAACTTTTCACATTAAACACATAAAGTTTAACCATCTCTCCCCGTCTCTTTAAGATGGAACAGATAAAACTGCAGATTAAGGGCTTTTCAGACTCCACCAGCTGTTTGGAGGGCACAAGGAATGGATGGAGGACACCAGGATTTGGGTTCTGCATACATCAGGTGCCTCCTCACCTCTTGTGTAGTCAGTCCTGCAGCCTGCAGGTGATTTTCCCCTTTGCCTGCGCTCTGATCAAAGCGGGAGCATGTTCTAAGTCACCCTCACAACCCAATCCATCTGCCAGTCTCCTACATCTTTATTTGCACTTAATTAGTGGCTAATTAGTCCCATCCTGGTCAGGTGACAGGACCTGCCAGAAGGAGTGACCTTTGTGGCCAGGAGGAGGGACCTGCCCATGAGCTCTGATGTGGCCCGCTGCAAATTAACCGCTGGGGGCAGATGGGCAGCTGCATTCCTGACATTTTTCCTCCTCTCCTGGAGCTCTGCTGAGCCTCCCTGAGCAAAGAGCAGCAGGTTGTTCACTTGCTGCCTCCTGTGGTTAGGGCCTGACGTGGTTCCAAGAGAAGGGGAGCGATGGGTCCTGCACAGTGACAGCCACCCCGAGCCATTCCCCCCGCAACCAGATCCCACAGCAACAATGAAGAAAAGAGAAAGGCTGCCCGACTGGCTCAGCCCCTTCCTACCGCTTCTCCTCTAACCTCTGCATGCGCTCTTGCAGTTCCCGCTGCTTCCGGATCTCCGGGAATTGCTTCTCATAGTATTCCCGCACTTTGCTCTCCTTGGCGCGGCGCCGGGGGTTATTTTCGATGCGCTCCACTTTCTTTTCCCAGGCTTCCATCAGCTGGTCATAGCGCTGGCAAAATTTCTGTTCCTGCGGGGACAAAGGCAGAAAGGCCCATCAGGAGGGAGGTCCTCATTGGGTCTCCTTAGCCCTTTGCATCCCAGGCCCAACTTCTCTGGAAAACCAGGGACTCCGGCCCTGTGGGGCTTCGTACCTGCTGCCCGCGCACTCTCCAAGGCTCCCGGTGTGTGGTTCGGCTCTCCCCATTCCCAGGAGCTGAGCTCCAGTGACACCATGGACACTAGGACACCCGGAACGCGCTTCCCAGCGCACGCACAACCCTCCGGCTGGGCTCAGCGGGACACGACAAGTCCATGACTGAATTAACTCCGCAGTGCTAACCTTAGGTTTAACACTATTACTAATAACATCGCTGCTGGGACACAGCGCGTGCCCTGCCCGTCACCATCGTTATCAGAACTAACGTGATGGGTTCACGTTATCACCATATCTGAACACTAAAAAACCAAACAGTTTGGGCAACTTGGACCTTCTGCTGCCGCTTGCCCAGGACTTCCCCAAGTCAGCGGCGTCTGCACTGGGGCTGCAGGCCCCAACGGGGCACCTGAGGCCGGAGGCTTTGGGGCTGCAGGAGGAGATGCCCCAACTGAACTGCTGGAAGGGCGAGAACGCTGCGGGAAATGCCCCCTGTGCACGGCACCAAGGCCTGCCAGGAAAGCAGCAGCTGGAGAAACGGATAGAAATGCCCTCCGCGGGTGATCCATGCTAAAGCCAGCCTCAGAAAGGAGAAGCCGGTGGGGAAACCACGGAGAGAACGACCCCAAGGCACCCTGTCACCAGGGATGAGCCGTGGGAGCAGGGCCCACTCGTGCCTGGCCCTGGCAGCCCTCTGTGCCCTGGGATGGGCAGGGAAAGGCGCCCGGAGAGGAAGGAAGAAACCAGCAGTATTTACAGAGCCGCGGGCCGTTCCTCTCGCTGTTTTTGGCAGGGCATGAAGGAAGCCCCTGAATTGCTTTTTTATTTTCGGACTCGGAGGGGAAGCGGGATTCTCGGGACGGCAGCAGCTCGCACGCTCCGGCCCTCTGCGGGGCTTTCTGCTTCCCGAGTGCTCCATCAGGAGCAGCTGGGATGTCTGCTGCTTGTCTCTGCCAGGCTCGGATCACGTCCCCTCCGAAGCCCTGTGGGCCCAGCAGTCCTGCTGCATATTCCCAAGGGAAATACCAGCAGGGAACGTCGTGCCCCGTGCTCCCAGCGTGCCAGGCCTCTTGCTCCTGACACACGGAGCCTCATCCCGTCTGGGCTGCCCTGGACACCTCCCCCTGCGCCGGGCCCTGGAAGGCAGGTGAGGGACTCCCTGCCTGGGGCTGCTGCTTCCCCTCGGCCTCCCCAGGATTTCTGGACCCCCCTCCTTGCTGCTGCCTCGCGCTGACCCTTCTCCGGCCGCGCCGCTGCGAGGAGAGGCCTGGAAGGAGCAAGCACCAACCCCAGGTGGGATTTCTGAGCCGAGGCTCCATCTCGGGCTCCTCTCCAGGTCAAGGGAGCCAAGCGAAAGCTGCTCCGTCTCCCCAGTCTTCAGTGCCCGCTGGGCCATTTCGGCTCTTCCCTCTTGGAAGGCCACGTGAAGGTGGCCTCGAGCGTGAGCAGAAGCGGCTGCTCCCTCCTCCTGCCACCCCCTGCTCGAGGAAAACACCCCGGAAAGGTGAAATTTACACCCAGAAGCTGCCCGGCTGGGACACCCGCTGCAGGGGGAGCACAGCGGCCACAGTGTCCTTGGCCCGGAGCACCTCGGTGCCGGCAGCGGCCGCGCGACACCCTCGGTGACACCGTCGAGCTCATGCGAAAGCAGCTGGGCAAACAGCGGGGATTTTGAGGTTTCACTCTGAGCGAAGCAAATGTCTTCCAGGCCCCAAATTAGGAAGTGAAAGCAGATGTCGCTTTGCAAAATAATCAATGGCAAACCCCAGGTCGCCTCCCTCGCTGCGCGCTCGCGCTACCGTTCTGAGCTGCTGGGCTGGTTTCGAGCCCGGGCGGCTCGGCAGTGGCGGCGACCGCGTTAGTCACCGCGGCAGAACCGGGTGAACCCGGATTTCAAAGAAATCAACTCATCTCTCGCCGCTGCCTTCCTGCGGCTGGGGGAAGCGGTAGCTGCAGGACTTCCCAGCCGCGCTCTGCTCCGCGGCCGCGCTTCGGAACCAAAGAGCAGGAAAGGAAACGGGGCTGCGGCAAAACCCGTGAGGCCGATGCAAACGCCCCGCTCTCTGTCAGCTGGGTCGCCCTTGACCGAAGGGGTTGGCCGTGCCGCACACCCAGAGCACAGCCCGGTCCCCAGCCTGCTGCTGGCACCGCTGCCACCCGTCGCTGGTCCTCACGCGTCATTTGGCCGAGCTATCGCGGAGCTGGCACTAAGGGGAGCAGAGGGATGGGGGGACGCAGCCTAGGAGCCGGTGAGCAGCTCGGGGCAGCTCTCGGAGCACACAGGGCACCTCCGGCCCTTGGCACCCCGTGTGCACACCAGGAGCCGGAGGCTTTGCTGCCTGCCGCGGATGCGCAGGATGCACCGGGACCCAGAGAAAATGCCCTGAGATGGAAGCCAGGAATGAGGAGAAAAACAAAACATCCCGAAACCCACCAGGAGGAACCCCACGTGCTGGGCAAGAGGCAATAAGTGACGCGAACGGCAGCTCCGCGCCGGCACGGATGCTGCACAGGGAGCCATCCTGCTCCTTCCCAGGAGGATGGATGGGGCCGTGGAGAGGGCAGGGGCTCCACGTGCTCAGAGCCTCCGAGGTTGGAGGGCCCCGGGATCGGCTCTGCTCCGCTCCCAGCCGGCCCCGGCCCCGCAGAGGCACCAGGGAGCAAAGGAAGCCGGAGGAATCGCTGGCGTGGGGACGGGTGCTGCTAAAAATAGTGTCTGCTACTAAACAGGCAGAAAAACAGCTAAGCGTACCCATTTTGCAAACAGCATCAGCAAATGCATTCACTTTGCAAATTCAGCAACCGTATGTTGCCTATTTTGTAGAATAGGCAAAATGCTTCCCTAAACTGAAAAATCCCCTTTCAAGGACACTGAATAAACCGGCTGGCAGAAATCTACCTATTTTGCATGAGAGACGACTTCTCAGCACGCCGTATTTTAGGAACCGTGCTCTTGCAGCCTAATTAAACTTTTTTCCCCCCCCTCTGCTCCTTGACATTCACAACAGAGCAGCTCAGTCTCAATTTAGCACAGTGGCTGGTGGCTTCGAGCAGAAAGCAGCTCCTGTTCAGTTCCCTTCTGCTTCCAACAAGCCCACGTGACACGCTGCAAGCTCGCGTTTGAGGAAGGGAACGGGGATACTTTTCCACAATTGCAGAAGGCATCGCTTGGGGCTGGGGTCCTGCCCCACCAGGACAGGCTGCAGGCCCTGTAATCCAGTAGGTCTTTTCTGGAAAACTGGAAGGAGTTTTAGCAAGAAAACAACTCAATAACAACTGCGCATTTGGGCAGAAATGGGAGAGCCAGCTGCCCAAGTGCAGGACCTGTGGCTTTTGGAGAGCTGCTGCAAAATGGAAAAAAATAATAAAAAAAGAAAAACAGGAAAAAAAAGGAATATGCCTTTATACACCATAAATAAGAAAATTATCTGCTCACTGGCTCAAAACCTTCTGTGTAAATAGCCTTATTGAAAGCTGCTTTTACAGGCAGAGCCTTCGAACCACTTCCCAGGGCTGCTCGCTCAGAGCATTTCCAACAATTCCTCCCTCCCGGAGCGCTCCTGTCCAAAAACAGCACCAAAGGAGGGAATAAACCTGCAACATTTCCAACCCAGGACAGAGCCGGGCAGTCCGGAACCGCTGCTGACACCAGCCCCAGGCTGGATGGAGCCGTGCGGAGCGAGCCGGCGGGTTTCATCTCCCGGGGGCAGCGCTGGCGCCTCGAACCTCCCGGCTCTGCCCGTCCCACCACAACCTTCTCCCCCGTTTGCTGTGGGCTCGGAAGAGGCGTCTTTGACGCTTGCAGCAAAACCCACCTTTGCCCTTGTGCGAGCGGCCATGAGCCACCTGCCGGGAAAGCTGCCTCAAGGCGAAGCAGTCGGAATGTGGTTTTGCTTTAAACCAGATCCCAGGACATCGTCCCGCAGCCTGGCAGAGCCGCATTTGCCTTCAGGTCGCTCACGGGAAGTGGAGCCAGCTTGTTTCACGGCTATCTTTGGGCTTGGTTGCTCACAAAATAGATGATCACCCTGCAAACACCTCACTGGGATGATCCAAGGGTGACCCAGCAGAGCCCCGCGCTTGCTCCGTGCCGCAGCATCACGGACCTCGCGCTCGCCTCCAACTTGTTTTTAGCAGAGAAGCTGCCGCAGCGAGGGAAAAGGCAACGCAACCCCAGGCACCGTCACGGCTACGCTGGAAATCCTCCTCTTCCTTTCAGCATCAAAGAATTACTCTGCTTTGTTTGTGCAAAATAAGAAAGAGTGGAGTCACTTACCCACTGTTTGCGAGCATGATTTCTCCTCTTGAAGTACAAAATTAACTTTTTCCGCATTGCCTGGTTTCTGAAAAGGAGAAAAGATGAGATTCGCTTAATGAGCCTGTTAAAATTCAAAGCCTTGCTCTCTCCACTCAGCAAAGCACTTCCCACCTTAACCTGGAATGGCACCAACCCTGGAGCAGCAGAGTTATCTGGGGACCTCGCGCCAGCTTCAGAGAAGACAAACCGGAGCGGAAGGCTCCAGGGCGAGCGGCTGCGCCCGCAGCCAGGGCTGAGCAGGACCCAAGCTCCAACTCCCAAACCCCGGCGCGTTTCGCAGGGACTCGGCCCTCAGTGGTCCCACCCGGTGCCACCTCGTGACATGCGGGTGACAACAGCATGTCCGCAAGAGCAGGGCCCACTCCCGCAGTGACGTTACGGTCTCTATAACCACCTGTATGTTTTGTTCCAGAAAGGGTGTCCGGGGGGTCCGGCTGCGCCTCCCCTCGGCCCCCGAGCCGTGGCCGAGCCGTCGGGGCGCCCGCG